CACACACACACACACACACACACACACACACCCACACACACTTAGACAAAAACATTAGCAATGTTACAATAAATGGTTCAACAGACTGAATTTCATTCACATTCAGTGAGTAAACCTTGAGAACTTTACATTTATTTTACCTTAAATATAAAACAATTGCTCATGTTAATCTATTATTTCACTTATTAGAAAAAAAATAAACTATCCATCTGTGCAGGATGACTTACATTTGTTGGGCAGAATAGAGCAGGGGACTATTTTGATAAATAAGTTGATGCAAAAAAACAATTTTTGTATAAACTCAAGTCAGTACTGGTTCAGCTATTTTAGTATTCAACACAGGCAGCCATGCTTTAAGATGCTTAATAGGTTAATGCCTCTTACTCTTAGGTAATGCTGGTCTGCTTTTGTTGTCCCTAAAGCAAATGGTGACACCTGAAAATATACAACAAAAATTAAATGGTAAATAGAAGTTGCTCTATATGATCCTTCAAACATTTTTTTTAAAACAAGTAACAACAGTGTTTTATTGACATCACAGCAACCCTAACTCAGTCTCACTTTCTTTGCTTGGAATCTCTAATCCACTCCACAAAAGCCTTATGTAGCGAGCTATAGCTAATACTCAGGTCTGGTCAGTGATTCACTTCACTGACTTTGCCAATTAAATCCTCACCTGTCCAAGACTATGTGTGTATAAATAAGTGTGCATTTTTGATGCTGTGTTTGTGATGCAAGGGAGCACACGGAGAAAATGTGGGTGTAGAGATAACGGTTATAATCTGGGAGAGACAAATTTTTAACCTAAAGCTTAACACTGATCATTCTCCACAGTCCTCCCACTACCAGTGACAGCAAATTGATTTAATTACAACAAAGTTAAGAATTCAGGAAGTGTGGTAATCTCAGACAGAAAGGCAGGGAAATAAACAGGGAAAGAGAAGAATTACTGAAGCAAGCGACGTAGACAGAAAGAGCAGCAGCTATAAAAAAAGATATGAAGAGAGCTGTGAGAGGAAAAGAGGAGATGAAGAAGGGGATGTTTAAAGAGGGAGTAGGAGGGGAGCTGTAATTATCCTCTCTGTCTGCCACTGATGTAACACAGCTTATTGTGTTGCCTTTGTTTTCACTGCGGCTGCTCATCTGCATGTTTGTTTATTTGGGTTATAAGCAGGGTCGGCTCCCCAGTCCTCAGTCGGCTGAACTCATTGTTCAGTCACACTGACTGATTGTTCTCCACACTCGAGCACAAGAGATATACGTGCCACATCCCGCTCTCATGCTCACACACGTGGCAGAATCTCAAAGAGACAAACACAAAGCTGTGTGGTTTCCTATTGTAATGCATCTGAAATGACAAAAAAATGATACCACTCAGGTTTTATTTGCTGCAAAAGAAAGAGAAGGCAGGGAAAACATTCCGGCTTTTGCRATTCCTCTGGGGAACTGTTCACAGATTATTTCCCTCCAAGTGACATTTAAGTAGTTTCTAATGTGACATATGGTGACAAGCGTGACCAATAGTGTGTGGATTTTGTCCATAGACATACCCATTCTATATAGTTAGATCTAKTTTCTTTTCATTTTTCTTTCTTTGGCATTTTGCTGGACTCTAAATTGGATTGTAAACAGATTAAAACGGGAAACTGCAGGAGCTGATGCCTGAAGCAGTTGGTTAGGATATGCTGCCAAATCCTTTCAACAGTCTCTGAAAAGTTAGAAGATAGGAGAGGAGATAGGTTACAGTAGCCCTCRGGGAAGCTGGCCACAACCTTTTGGCAGCTAAGGAAAAATGTAATAGAAATGAAGGGTTTTTATAAGGAGAATAGTCTACACCAGGGGTCTGCAACCTGCGGCTCAGGGGCCACATGTGGATCTTTGGTCCCTCTGCAGTGGCGCTTTGAAAATTTGACCAAACAACATTTTTTTTTTGTTTTAAATAATCCAACTTCTTTCTATGATTTTTTCTCTCAAATCCATCAGGGTTATCTTTAAACCTTTAGGACTACATAATAATAAGAATTAGGAAAAAAAATGTCTAACTCAGCTGTACTAGTTTTTATGAAATTCTGTAAAAACTATAGCCAGTATGTTTCTTGTATCATATGTTTTGTTTCTTCAGTCCTGAAGTGTAAAAATAATAAATAATAAAATTCACAATATATTTTTTAGGTTTATGTCACCTCCACTGGCCATAAAGGTTCACGAAACGGCCTTGAAAAGGCTCACAAACCACCAGTTGATAATCACAGTTGTAGCTTATTTTGCGGCTCTGGACAAATTTTATTAGTGAGCTGAGGAGCAGAAATGGCTCTTTTGATTGTAAAGGCTGCAGACCCCTGGGCTACACAAATAAGCCATTACATTATAACCAGTGACAGGAAATGTGAATAACTCTGCTGAATGAAACCCTAAAAACACACACAAGTGCTTGTTGTCCTTGCCATGGCTCCCTTCAATAAATGGTCATAATGCTWTGGGTGGATAGTATATATTGACTGTTTAAAGATGCTAAATAAACTGTGCAGAATGACCTCATGGGGTATTGTTTAGGGGCTATGAGCATATCATTTTGTTACACTCCTAAGGATTATAGGACACAAAAGTATATAGTGTTAGAAGCATTCAGTAGAGGATTTTAGACCTCCCAGTGTACATTTTAACCTCTCAGCTACTGATAAAGCAAACATAAAAACAGTAAAGCTAGAGAAAGATAATAACCATTGGCCTTTGACAGCAAAATTAATCTTGGCTTATCTTTTTTTTAGCACAGCATTCAACAATACAAAGCAACAGGCTTTTAAATAAAAGCAGAAGAAAAATATAAGTGATAAGCCCACGTTTTCTTCCTTCCTCTCCTTTTGTTGTCCCGTCATCRAGACGCTACTTACAGAACACTCAGTTTTAGCCACTGAAGTCCCATCTGCATGCAGCATGTCGTGATGTGATGATGAGGAAGGAGAGAAATCTGGGTTTTATCGCAACTATTTATCCAACGTCGTGCAGAAAGAAAACAGGTAAAAAAATAACTGTAGAATAACTTTTAGGAGGAGTACTGAAGCCAAGCTTGCCTGGGGCGCATGTGCGACACTGAGATCATTGAGACCTCAAATAGGAATGTCTGAGAAAGCAACAACGGTTTGTTTGTTTGTTTGTATCGTATCCTCTTTTCCCCTTGTCAAAATGTTCACCGCAAACCTTTTTCTGAGCAACAACAAGCTCTGAAGAGTAAAAAAAATTAATAAAATGTTGAACGTATTTTGTGTTTTAGTGTGTTAATATGCACCTGGTACAACAGGTCAGAGGTAGATGTTCCCTCCATAGAAATGATTCCCTTCAAATACAACTCGGCTTTGCTGGTTGCTATAGCAACTTTTAAACCATTTGCTCCTATGGCAAATAAGATTACTATCTATTGTAGACAGTCATCWTGCTTGCTTTGTCCTTTAAATTTTTGACTGCTGTCTAAGTGCAACCGATAAAATTATATGTTTGACTACTGAAGAGAATATTGTTTATTACAATGATTATGCTGCAATTATATAGGCAGTGAAGCTGATACTACTTTGTTAAATAACGTCTTCATTGTGGAATCATGTAAGAACACATTGGCCTGCTTTGTATTTGTTATACGTTTTAGCAGAGTGCAGGTCTATTAGGCGATTGCTCACTAAGCATGCTGCCTGTGGCGTTTCTACTGTGGAATCAATAACTGGCTACAACACTGCATCCTACTGGAGTGCTGCAAAAAAAAAAAAAAAACCCAGAGCATGTAAATATCAATTTTCCACGTGTCTTTCTTCTGCTTCTTTACTTCATTTAAACTACAAATATCTCACTCTCTTTCTCCATCAMTACAGGTTTAACACTTGCAGCCAAAGTTAAATGAAATCTGGGTCATTTTATAGTGGGAGACAGGGTGATGAGCACATGCTAACGGTCAAATTCTATGTGGAGAAGATGATACAGGGATTAAATCATCTGGGAGCTTTTTGGATGTGGATGAATGAAAAGGCACTGATTTGATCACTACATTATATGCACGCAGTCTCTCTTACTGTGTTACTGTAAATAAGTGTGATAGCTGTACCAGGTAATTGTTTCAACATAATAATCCTATGAATTAATCCATAGATTAATGCAGCGGCCTCCCTTGWCCACTTGCTCAAAGAAAATTATTAGATTTACTCTATACAAAGCAGATTTATTTATATATATATATAAAGACGTAACTCTAGTGAATGGAGCTTAGACTTACAGCATGGCTCGGTGGTCTCCAGTATGTCTGGGTAGCCTTATCATAGTGTTGCATTCGTTTGTCCATTGGCCTGTCACTCTTTCGTAGCAAAGCAGGAGCCCTCTGGTGGTGGCACTGACACCTGACCTGACGTCCTGGATAAGGCTAATGGGGAGAAGAAGACAAAGCGTGGATGGACGAAGGAAAAAAATAAACTTTGAGGAAATGGTAAGTAGAAATCCACACAGTTGTGCATCATCAGTAAAACATCTGAACGACAAAGTCACTTCTAGATGGAAATGAATATTCCACAAGTTTTTTTTTTTTTACTGGTTGAACTAAAGAAGTTCTATCTATACAGTTGACATGCAAACATTATGATGCTACTGATTACAACAGTGGTTCTCAAACKTGGGTCCCAGGACCCCTAAGGGTCTGTGAGTTGTATGTACAGTTCAGACCAAATGTTTGGACACACCTTCTCATTCAAAGAGTTTTCTTTATTTTCATGACTATGAAAATTGTAGATTCACACTGAAGGCATCAAAACTATGAATTAACACATGTGGAATTATATACTCAAGACTGTTGGATAACCATTTCAGGTGACTACCTCTTGAAAATCATCAAGAGAATGCCAAGAGTATGTGAAGCAGTAATCAAAGCAAAAGGTGGCTACTTTGAAGAATATAAGACATATTTTCGGTTGTTTCACACTTTTTTGTTAAGTATATAATTCCACATGTGTTAATTCAAAGTTTTGATGCCTTTAGAGTGAATCTATAATTTTCACAGTCATGAAAATAAAAGTTCAAAAAGAAAACAAAAGAAATAAAATAAAGAAAACTCTTTGAATAAGAAGTTGTGTCCAAACTTTTGGTCTGTACTGTATATATTTACATTACACACACACACACACACACACACAGGGATCAATAGGCAAGTAAAACAAACATAATTAACAATAAAAAATAAAAATAAAAATATTATTCCCATGGCTTTAGGGGTTAAATGGATGTAAATTATGTTTAATCAGCTTGAGATCTTTGAGGGAGACCCTGGAATTTTCTCTACCCTGAAAGGGGTCCCCAGACCCAAACGTTTGTGAAGCCCTGGATTAGAAGGTTAGAAGCTTTGATAGGGATACATACAATAAAAATGGAAAGTGTCTGTCTTGACGTCTCATATTTCTCAACCATTCACAACTATTAGCCCGCTGAAGACACACAATGTTGTCTGAAACAGACATTTTCCCTGCTACACACCTCATGTGTTTGTTATTTTTAGCTCTATTATATTCCATTTAGTCAGCTTTTACCAACTTCACCCTCTGAACAGTATCTAACACCTCCTTCTGGTAAATCTGACTTTAATGCCGTCTCTAAACCAATTTCAGGGACAAACACAAAGCCCCAAAAGACTTTGATTGTCTAATTCAAGGTACAACATCAGTTTTCACATGCTCTACCTTTTTTGCTGTAATTGCTATTTTCACACAACCAAGAACGTAGGGTTGGTCGGTACATTAAATTAACGCCTGAGCCTTATGTGTTTGTTCTGCCCATTTGTTAGTCCTCTACTGCAAAGACATCAGAGCAAGAGAGGCAGCAAAACAACTCCGAAAGTCTGGATTCCCACAAGAAGCTTCAGCACAAAGTCAGCACAGAGAATTTTATTTTCTTTCCATTTTCCCCTGCACGTTCGCTCTTACAACCTCTACTCTCATTAAAGCCAGCCACAGATCTGAAAACATGCCTTGTATTTCTGTTCTTATTCTCAGCTTGTTGGGTGTTAAGGGTGCAGCAATACTGTGCTGTCTCAAGGACCTGCTCAGAGTGGATGTTAATTCTAATTGGATGGATAGTATGTTGCAGATAAGCTGGTGTACAGACATTTTTGTATTTCTCAGTGTGGTTGAAGTTTGAATAATGTCAACAAGATGTGCTTTTTTTCTTTTGACTAACAAGGAAACACTAATGAATGTTAGAGTGAAGGTGGAGCTGATCAAACCCAAAAAGAAYGGACATTGTTTGCAGACAGGAGTAACAGTGCATGTAGGAGTAAAGAAAAACACCCATCAGATAAATTCACACACTCTACACACACACTACAACAGTTTGTGTTTCCCTACTATTAGGAGGCTAAACATGGAGCCCGTCTCTCTGCATGGCATAATCGCATCATTTTTGTCTTTCCGCTTTTGTTTTGTAACATGTAATGAAGGTGGAAATGGTGTAAACAGCAACGAATTGAAAGCATTGGATGTGTCCGGATATTCTTAACTGAGACGGATCTGCAAAAAGAACTATTATCAAGGACATGGACTATTGAAAGAGATGCTAAATGCTTTCAGCACGCTATAGCCACATGAAAGCAGGTTTGATATTCTACAGGKTCCACTAGGATTCAGTGTATGGACCTTGGTAATTTACATTTTTTCCATTTAGTTTTAATGGCAGTTTGGAGTATCATTCAACTAGAATGTTTCTGAAATGTGGGAAGTAAGTGCATGTTATTATAAAGACAACCATGYATTTCCTACACTGGTGCTGCTCGTTTAATATTTCATGACTGAAGAAAATATATATTGTCAATATGCCTCCTATACATCACYGATGTTCTTTGTACTCTTTGTATGAAACAAAGTGTCTGTCTTCCTTAGAGGGGAGATTTCTCTTCTTTCTGAAATGTCTTCTTTCGTCTTTTTCCTTTATTGAATTTGATGGTTGATGGGATGAAGGAATCATTTGTTGCACTTTAAAGAAAACTGAAAGTTTTTGTGTCACAACACTGGTTTCAACTGATAAATACAAAATGTATTTTTTTGAAAGGAGTTTCAAAATGATCAGTTAGCATATTATTTTTACATCCATTCATCCGCTCTCTGTCTCATCTCCATGGTCAGGTATACAGAAGCAACAGGTCCAGGATAAAAACCTAGAGACCTTTCCCTCCAAAAACACTCCATTTCCTTCTCGGGGACCTCAAGGAATTCCCAGACCAGAGAGGACACAATATCCCTTCAGTGGGTTTTGGGTCTGTGGCGGGGTCTCTTCTCAGTGGGGGATCAGAGGCATCCTAATCAGATACCTGAACCACCTCAGCTGACTCTGTTTGATGCAGAGGTGCAGCAGCTCTACTCTGAGCTCCCCCTGGACGACAGCACTCCTCACATTATCTCTAAGGCTGAGCCTGCCACCCTATGGAGGAAGCTCATTTCAGCCGCTTTTATCTTGTTCTTTCAGTCAAATACCTCTTGAACATAGGAGAGGGTTGGAACATAGACTAACCAGTAAATCTAGAGCTTTGCCTTTTGGCTCAGGTCCTTCTTTACCACAGCAGAAAAGAGAAATGCCCTCATTATTGTGGACGAGGCCCTGATCAGTCAGTCCAGTTCCCACTCCATCTTACCATTACTTTTGATAAAGACTCTCAGGTAGCAGAACTCCTCCACTTGAGGCAGAAACTCCTCTATATTTACATCTACATTGTACTGTATATCTACAGTATATAATAAATTGTATTTTTATGTGTTAAAGCAAGTTGTGAAAAAAACATATCAAATTTTGTGTTGCAACTCCTCTAAATTTTCAATTTATTTCACAATGCAAACCACAGATTTAATTCTTTTTGTGTGTGTGTGTGTGTGTGTGTGTGTGTGTGTGTGTGTGTGTGTGTGTGT